CTCTTTCTCTCTGTCGCTGCAAATCTGCCAAGGTACTTCTTTTTGTCCTTCAACTCTACAAATCCGCCATGCTCGTTTTCAGGCACCGTCAGAAAATCGTGCCACGTGCCAAAGAAGCCGTCTTCATCACATCGGCTCTGCAGAAACGATTGATTCATGGCCGCCGACAAATCGGGCGCCTGAGGGAATAGCTTGAGCACTGCAGCTTGCGGTTTATAGTTTAGGATTTAGGGTGCTGGAACTTGTCGGAGGCGGCTCTTATAAGTCGCAGATGCACATCGTGTCCTAAAAGTTACGCTATCTACGAATGCAAGCGAGCCTGATTCCGTTTTGCCGACGGCTAACGCCATAGGTTTCTTTCCCACAGCCTTATCCTGAGAAGGCTAGACTCCAGACACAGACCCTTGTCAATCTCATCCATATTCTCACTCGGCACATGCGATCACTAGGTACCTGCCGCTTCCGCCCAAGCTTGAGATTGAATACCGGCTCTGCTGCCGGGCTAGGGTTTAGGGTTTAATATAGAGGCCTTAATAATTACCTACACTATTGTGGGGGGTTCCTTAATGCGCTTAATAGTACAACATACCCCCAAATCCTTTTCTAACTGTTAAGGCCCTTATATTATAGAACCCTACTATAGATCCCTTATAGACCCCTTTAAGGAGGCCTTTAACGGAGCCCTCTTCTAATTATTAAGGGCCCGGGATCCTTCTCGGAACCAAGACCAAGGCTGTCCAAGATGACACGTCGTTGGTGCTCTAGGATGCCCAGTAACCTACGAACAAAAAGGGCTCCCTTTTTTGGTATCTGGGAACCTGATAAGGAACCTAGGACTACAACAAGGGAAAAAGGGCCCACTGGGAGTCCATGTCATGTGCTGGTTATACCAACCGTAGTGAGAAGAACTACGGTGCAGCTTTTATGATGATACACTACGCCATTGAAAATCCCAAGACCTAAAGCGTAAACCCCAAACCCTGAACCCTTAAACCTGAACCCTGAAACCCAAACCCTAACCCTAACCCTAAACCCCAAACCCCGAACCCTAAAACCTAAAAAGGCATTGCAGCCAAAGGCCGCCACTGCTTTGGGATACGTCTTCCACTTCGACCCCCGGACTACTAAAACCCGTCGAATCTGCCAAACCCCAAAAGCTAATCCCCTGAACCCAAACCCTTAACTCGCCGAATCTGCTAGGCGCCAACACCCAAGGCCCCACAGTAAACCCCGAAAAATTGGAAACCTGACTAAGGAGAAACAGTGCTGGGATTACCTTTACATGACTCTTAAGGATAGAGGCTATTGGGTTTCCAACTTTCGGGCTGCTACCATAGAGAATGATGGGGGGTAGGAAGTAGCTTATACTTGGGTTATAAGACCCCTAAGTGGGGTTTTCCTCATGATAACCAACCTGTAACCGTACCTACTAAGTCCCATGATCCTCTAAGCACCCACAAATATACCCGAAATACCCACGGTTAAGGACCATCAGGACTCCATTAAAGGGCCATTTGGGGGTTATTCCACTTGTGAGACTTCAGGCTCGGGTTTAGGGCTTTCGGGTTTTAAGGTTTAACGTTTAAGACTGTCTTGGGCAGGCTAAGGCCTAAACCGTAGAACCCTAGTTCAAGCCTAAAAATCTGAAAACAATGAAGACGCAACCGAACTTGACCCTAGAAGACCGCACCAAACACGAACCCTTCGTCACGTCAAGTTCATCCAGCCCAGGTGTTGCTTGCAGAATGGGGAAAAAACACACCCTGAACCCTTCTGCCTGGACTTTGATTCGTGCTGTCCGAACCAGTTTGCGTCGAAGACCTTGTTGGAATCATGAGAGATTGGGGAGGGGAGGTGCGCCACAGACAAACAATCGCATGTAGGATCGTTAAGAGTTTCGGGCTTTTGGGGTTTCGGGTCTTTGGGCTCGAGATCTTTCGCATTGTAGCGTTTCGGCGTTTCGGACTCTTAGGACTTAGGGTTTAGGCCCAGAGACTCCAATATCCCTTAATTGAGGAATATTCCTTAAACTATGGTAGGATCCCGAATATGATTGAAGGTATATTCCTTAATATTGGAGTCTCTGGGGGGTTAGGTGTGCGACTAATGGTGCGTCAGATGAGCAAGCCCGAACGAACCCGAACTCAGACGCGCACTGCGACCTTCTGAGCTGCTGCTGCTGCCCTGGAGCAGAGGAGGTGGCAAGGAGGTTCTATGCCCTAAACCCCTAAACCCTAAACCCCTAAACCCTGAACCCTCAAGTCTAAAACGAGGCTTTAGGGCCAGGGTTCTGGGTTTGGGGAATGTCATGCTATTACAATTTAGCTCTAATGTAGGGTTCTTAGGTACCTCAATCAAGTGTGCGAACTAACCGCACACTGATAGCTACGTACCTGCAAAGTTTTCAGGTCTGTGACTTGGAGTTTGTTGCTTCGGCATTTGGCCCATATCCGCTAAACGCGACATCCTCAACAGTTAAACACAAAACGCTAAACCCTACCTCATTCAGGGATGTTGGGGCGGTTGGAAAGTGGACAAAGGACTTCCAAAGCATCTTCTGCACACTGGACATCTGTTCAGGGCTTGAAAGGCTTGAAAGCTACATGGAGAAGTGAAGCCATGAACCCTAAGCCCAAACCCTTAACCTCTAAACCTAGGGGTTTGGGTCCATCATCCATGGCTCAGGGTTTAGCGGCTTCCGTTCCGGGTTGCTCCTGAACCCTCGATGCCTGTCTCCGCCTTCCAACCCTGCCCGATGCTCCACCCCAATCTAAACCTGAAGGACCAAATCACCCTTAAACGTAGGGGCCCTATACCCATATACTATGAATCCCTATATGGTACATGAACCTTAAACCTTTTTTGGGTTCATTTCGTCCTTAAGGAACTCAACAGGAAGAGCATCTTTTTGAAAAGGCTGTGTTTGTCCCAAGCCGATACATCGGTAAGCCGCCGAGACACCTGAAGCTAAACTTTTAAGCCTCAAACTGGAAAACCTACACAAGCTCACTCTTCCAGGTACTTGTATCCTGAACGGGGTGCGAAATCCCCAGCTGCACTGCTACCCACGATATCAGTTTACTAGGATACCCAGTAACCTAAGAACAAAAAGGCCTCTCTTTTTGGTTTTGGGTAACTTTATAAGGAACCTAGGACTACAAAAAAGGAATAAGGGTACTACTGGGCATCCTAGTTTAGGCATAGGTGGTTCCAACACCCCTGTGACCCGTCCTCGCCTCGCTGCTACTGCTGTCATCCGACTCCTGAACCACAAAGGGTTTATGAAGGAGTGTGGAACGGCTCCAACAGGGTTTGATTTAATGGCTGAAACCCTAAACCCTAAACCGCTCACGGCCGAAGAAACAGGACAGGATCTTTGGGAAGACTTGCCGAGTGTATGCCTGTCGCGGCTGCAACCTCAGCCCGAAAACCTTAACGAAAATAAAACCCAAGCCCTAAACGGTTTAGGGTTTAGGGTTAAACCCCAACACCTGAAGATCTAAGCACAAAAACCCCGAACCCAATGCATACATCAAGCTCTCACGGCTGGTCTCACGTTCTTCGGACACCGGTCAAACAGGAGCAGTACGGCCCCAGAGAATGGAAACCCTCGAAGGGTTGGGGTTTAGGGCAGGGTTCCAAGGGCCTTAACAATTCGAAAAGGGTTTGGGAGGTACATTATACTATATATACGTAGTAATTATGGTACGGAAACCGACAATATATTGGGCCACTGCTTAAAGGCTCAAGGGACTTGGAGTAACCTAAGGTAGCTTCGAAGTAAGGTTATAATTAGGATAACCCCACTAGCCCCAACTGCAGCCTACTACTAGGTCCCTGAGCCCTGAAGTGGAGTTTAGGTCGTGTAGAGGTCCCAAATGGTTAAAAGTTGCCCATCCACGAAGTTGAGTTCATACAGGGGCCTTAATGATTAGGATGGGGTTTTGAATAATAAGGAATCCCCAAAATAGTATAGGTAATTCTGTAGGCCCCTGCATTAGGCTTCAGGGTCTTGATCGCAAGAGAGGGTTTTGGTTGAAAACAACAAGAGCAGACGCAGCAAGCGTCGTCACCGTCACCAAGGTTTAGATCATGGGCCTTTCGCGGCGATAGTGTAGTCCCCTGTTTAAGCAAGATCCATACGCTGTCAGCTTCAACAGCGCGATGGTTCATCCATAGAGGCGCTACCACAGATAGGCGGCACATGCGCGTCAAGAGAAAGACCGGCATCTTGGATGTTGTGAAGCTTTCTCCATCCTGCATGAGCGTCGCTCTCACACCAAGAGCTGCCAGGTCCACCTCGTAGCGGGACAATTGCTTAGGATGTCCTTAAGGGGGGGTGGTCCAAGGGGGGTAACCTAGTAATCCCCATTTTTCCCCAATACTCCCTAAGCTTCCCTAAGGTTCCCCAAAGCTCCCTAGTACCCTCCCCCCTTGAACCACCCCCCCTTAAGGATCCTATAAATTGCTGGGCGCCATCCACTTTAAAGTAGAGATTCATTGGTGCCACCATTGTATCTGCCAGCAGGGAGTCTGTCCATCTTCCGGGCGTCGATGTTGGGCTTAGCCCCTTGGGATCCCTTGGGCATCTGCACTGTTGTTCGTCCTTGGCAGCCTGCTCCAAAAGGCCATGGTATCTCATTCCCCTTCTCTCCGAAGAAATGCTCATACCAGGTTACAACCTTCAGGTTACAATTCAAAGATTTAAGTTTTCTGTCTTTGTGAACCCACAACTAAGCTGACGAAACTTTGTGTGTCAATGTCGCAGTATTTGTTCAGCTAACCGGAGTATAGCTGCCTGAATATTAAGAGCAGGGTTTGGGGGGGGGGGGGGGGGGGGCAATTTCACGCTAACTGTACAAGGCCACAATGCCATGAAACTAATCATTAAGGAAGCTGTTTGCCAAACTCTCGTGCCATAAACCCTAAACCCTGACCCCTGAACCCTACAACCCTAAACCCTAAACCCCTAAAACCCCTAAACCCCCTAACCTCTGTCGTCACCCGACTCGCGCTGCCTCCGTCGTAGAGGTTTTGCTGGATGTGGCCTGGGCTTGCCACCCTAAAGGGCTAGAAAGTAATGGTATTTGTTCGCAGCTTTCAACCCGGAGCCTGTCTTAAGGGCCCTTATTACTTTCCAATAAACCCTCCGGGTTAAAATTAAGAACAAAAACCTAGTGATAGACCCCTACGGTTGATGATATAAATCCTTGCATTACCCATAAGCCATAATAAGCACTATACCATAATTCCCTTAGTTTAGGGTCCTAAAGGCAATGCAGGGTTCATATCAGCAACCGCAGGTCCGCAAACACCTGCAGGGTCTGCAAGGACCGATGATATCGGGATTGTGCTTCCTTTGAAGGTTTAGGGTTTAGGGGTTAAGGGGTTTAGTTTGGGTTTCAGGTTTAATTTTAGGGTTTCGGGTCTCGCCCATGAGCTGAAAGGTAGAAACACAACCGAACCTCCTACGACTGACTGATTACCCGAAACCCAAAACCCTAAGCAGTGCAGCAGGACCTAGTTGCTGAATTCATAAGCCCCCAAAAGTACACGTTCAGTTCTGTAGTGGGTAAGGTAATATTGAACCAAAAAGCTTAGGGTTTAGGGCTTAGGGTCTTTCAGTTTATAGTGGGTAATATTATCCCCCAAAATGTAAAGTGTATCTACTCAGCTGCTAACAGAATAATTACAACGAGTTACACTTTAAGAGGCAGCAGTCACAAACAACTACAGGCAAGCCGAAAACAAAGGCTGAGACCATAGTGAAGCTGCGAAACCGCTTACCGCGAATATTTCTTACACCACGTTGAAACGAGAAGCACAAAACAGACGGCAAACTCGTTCGTCATCTCACGACGCAGCCTTTCGGCTTCTTCGAACGCTTCAAAGCCCTAAACACTAAACCCCTAAACCCCTAATTACAGCCCAAATACCTTAAATCCTAGAACCATAACCATAAGGCTCTACAGCCCAAAACCCTAAACAACCCTCTCTGTCGGCATCCTGTGGAAGCAATACGGTTGATGATATGAACCCCGCATTACCTTAAAGACCCTGCACTATGGGAATTATGGTATAGTCATTTGTATGGGTAATGCAGGATTTATATGGGAGTTGACGCTAATATAGCACCCTAAATTGTAGGATCCTTATTATAAGGACCCCAAAATAAGGTACCCCCTGATTCTCGGAAACTGCCATATCCCTAGAGACTCCAAAAGTCCTTCATTCAGGAAAAAAACCTTAAATTATAGTAGGATCTCTAATATGATTTAAGGTACATTCCTTACTTAAGGGATATTGATTGGAGTCTCTGGGTCATCAGCCGTATGAAATCCACTGGAGACGCCCTGCGGCCCAGGCTGGCAGCGAAGTTTCCGCTGCGGGCCGCTTGATCTCCTGGCAAGAAGGTTTAGGGTTTAGGGGCTCCAGGGCTTAGGGCTTTTGGTTTTAGGGCTTTAGGGCTTTACGGATTTATGATTTATGGGTTTAGGGCTTTACGGCTTCAGGGCTTTTGGGGGTTTAGTTAGGGTTTAGGGGTTACGGCCTTGTATACCCGTGGCCCTAAAAACCTTTTCTAAGAAGATATGTGTAGAAACCATGACAAGGACCCCAAAAAAAGACAGTTTTTTGTCGGCATAAAGGCTTGAATAATTAGAAAAGGGTTTTGGGGCATGCTATTCTTTCCCTGTAATAAGAAACCCATCAACAAAATTGGTAATTGTTTATCTAGGATACCCAGTAACCTAAGAATAAAAAGGCCTCTCTTTTTGGTATTGGGTAACTTTATAAGGAACCTAGGACTACAAAAAGGGAATAAAGGTACTGCTGGGCATCCTAGTTCTCTATACTGAACTTAGAACCCTTTCAAAAATTGTAATTTTAGCTGTTTCTTAGGGATTCTAATCACCAAAAAACGAAAAAAAATATTTCTAAGTACCCCTAAGCAGGTAGGGTTGAGGATCTTCTCTTCGGCATTTTGGCTGTGTCAGGTTCCGAGTGGTCGCCTCCAAACCTGAACTTCTGAACTTCTGAGGTTCAGGGCTTAGGGTTTGGGGTTTGGGGGTTAGGTTTTGGGGGGGTTTAGGGTTTGCGGTTCAGGGTTTAGGGGTTAGGTTTTGGGGGGTTTAGGGTTTGCGGTTCAGGGTTTAGGGGTTCAGGGGTTAGGGTTTGGGGGTTTAGGGTTTGGGGGGTTTAGGGTTTGGGGTTTAGGGGTTCAGGGGTTTGGGTTTGGGGGTTTAGTTTAACATTTAGGGTTCAGGGTGTGAGAGCAAAGTCAACTCTAAACGATACCCTGCATCACCAAACGCAACAAAGTTAGATCCCGCCAGGTGGGTTTAGGGGTTTGGGTTTACGAGATTGTTCCTGGGTCTTCGAATTCGCCTGAGGCTTGAACTTCCACTACCATTCATCGGACTTGCCGAATAAGAAACCACGACGACTCCGTCGCGTTTTGGGGTGCAGGGTTGAAGGTTCAGGGTTTAGGCTTTATGGCATGTAGACTATGGCTGTGAATGCTCCACTGGGCCCATAACAAGATAAGAATCTCAAGCCACTGTTGGAAACGGAGATACTACGGTGGATGGTATAAACCCTGCATTACCCATCATCAGAAATATACCATAATTCCCATAGTTTAGGGCTAGTAAGGTAAGCCAGGATTTAGATCAGCAGCCGTAGAACTCTAATTTTGATCCCGGCTGAACCCTTAAGCCTGGCGCCTCTGAAACTCCTGAAGCCTGATCGACACCCTCAAACTCCTACTAGTACATGGGAGTTTCCGAAAATGGGGCACCCTAATATAGTGCCCTCGATAATAGGATCATTATTATAAGGACCCCAAGATAAGGTACCCCTAATTTTTGGAAACTCCTACATGTGAGGCAATGCTGTTCACACGATGAAGCTCGAGGAAACCTTTGAGAAGACCGTGACATGGCCCACAACCCTACTTGAAGGCTCATGGGACTTAGTAAGTAAGGTTATAAGTAGGTTATAACTAGGATAACCCCAATTAGGGGACTTATAACCCCAATTATAACCGACTTACTAAGTCCCATGATCCTCTAAGTAGACCCTTGACCAAAAACGTCCTGAGAGCCCAATACTATCACGAAGCTGTGACGCATCACCAAACTCTAAACCCTGGCCCTAAAGCCCTTAACAAACAAGAGTCGCGCCTCGGACTTCGCGAGCTCCTTGGCTGAGCTGATTTGCTTCGATGCGCTAGAGCGCAGCGTCTCAGGGAGCATGTGGCAACCGCAACTACTATTTGCTTAAGAACCCCCCAAAAATAGAAAACAATAATCCCTATATTACCCCTATAAGGAATATTTGTTATTTCTTGGGGGGTTCTTAAGCAAATAGTAGGCAACAATGGTTTGGGCCTATAGACGTAGAGTGTCGGATTCAGGGGTGAGTTTAGGGTTTTCACAGTGCTGGATTCGGGTTTCAAGGTTTAGAGAAAGTTTAGGGTTTAGGGCTTAGAAGTTGGGTTCAGAAATACCAGAGTAGGGATCCTACTATCAGGGCAAGGCACAGAGACATGCTTCAATCATTTGATGTTCAGAGTCCTTCGATGTACAAGGGCCTAGTTATTCACTCTCTCTCTCTCTCTCTCTCTCTCTCTCTCTCTCGCTCGCTCACTAGCGATCTCTCTACACATGCGTATGTGTACATGCATACATACAAAAAATGTATACATACACATGGATGTTATACCTACATACATGCATACATGCATACATACCTTCATCAGCGCATGCATGAATGCGTGCACAGACATACACATGCATGCATGCATGCATGCATGCATACACACAGACATACATACGGACATACACAAATACATACATTACATACATACTGTGTGCGGAAAATGAACATAAACTCGTATGGGGAAAGCAACCTTAGCCAAGCACTCGCGGGTAGTCCGTGCTTCAGAGTGTCCCGATTCAGGATGTCCCCAGACGGCCCAATACCCCTTAGCTAAGGAAAATGACCTCAATCATAACACTACGCCCATTTATGATTTAAGGCATATTCTGCAAATTAAGGGTATTGGGCTCTCCGGGTCGCTGTATGGCGTCAAAGCTGATTGGGAGCACACTTGGGGCACGGCTTGGGGTTTACGGTTTGGGGCTTAGGGGCACGTAGGGTTTACGAACAAAAACGTACGTATGCACGTCGTGGGCTTAGCTGTTTATCTAAACTTCGGTAATGCCCATCACCCGCACCAATAGAGACCGCCAAAGTCCTCAAGTCTGAACTCTTAACCCTCATGTAGCCTGATGAGTCGCTTTAGTCGAAGTACCTGCAGGCTGCAAGGAATTACGATCCTGTCGAGGTTCGGAGGCACGGTTCGGGGTGTATTGACTGGACAAGAACTGCTGCTATTTCTGTTGAATTATTTGGTCATACCCCTACTATGTCAGACATGCCCAACCCACAACCGCCAGGTCAAGCATCCCAGCACAGAACGAAGAACTTGTGAGAATGTCAGACTGTTCCGCATGTCTCGTGGGAGATATCTCACTCTCGACTGCCTGGGGGGGGATTCCACCTGCTGCATCACAGCTCTTTGCTAAGCCCTAAACCCCATACTCTAGAGCCTACACCCGAACCTCATCGTGGCGTAAAGCCTTGAACTATAGACTTTCAGCTGAACGTATAAGAGTTCTAATTACCGTACAGAACCACCTAACAAAGGAAGGCGAGCCCAGTAAAAACGCAAGAGCACTGAGTACTTACAAACTCCCTTCCGGGTAATATAGGGGCCTTAATTGTTAGAGTAGGGTCTTGGGGCCCATTATGCTATAATTATAAGAAGGACCCCCCAAGACAGTTTTGGTAACTATTTCGGCCCCTATAAAGTAGGTTCGGAGCCCCAGATGCCCCAACCTCTCATCGGGATGAGCCGCAACCCGTTTAAGAAACCCAAACCTGAACCCTAAACCCCTAAACCCTAAACCCCTAAACCCCTAAACCCTAAACCCCAAACCTGAACCCAAGCCAGAACCTCCAAACTCGAAACCCAGATGCTGATATCTAGGGGCCTTGATAATTACCTATACTATTGTGGTGGTTCTGCGAGAACCCTCTCGTAATTATTGTAAGGCCCCCATATTAGGTCGCAGGCCCCACGCCCCGTAACCTCCAAAGTGGAGGGTTTGGCACCCAGTCAGCAGTTAGATAAGCACCCTGAAAGGGATTCTAATTGGGGTTATGATACTTATAAGTCTATAAACTGACTACTTACTAAGTCCCCCTACCCTCCTAGAAACAACTAACAGAGGCCATAAGATGATCCTACAAGATGGAGAGGTCGCCCCATGACTATTTGGAAACCATTCCATTCTATTCAGTCTGGCCAGGAAGAACCAAAGGAAAGGGATACTACTGAGGAGCATAACATGGGCCCTGAATAAACAGAACATTGTTGTAGGGGTACCATATAGATCGAACTAGAAACAAAGTGGATACTATTGATATTGATGGTTCCGACCCCTATGTTCACAACTGACCCTAAACCCTACACCCCATTTTCCAACTATATGTGAACTAAGGGGGCCTCAATAATATATCATGTTTTTAGGGACCACATACCTAATTGTGCTGACCCCTATTCACAACTGACTCTAAACCCTAGATCATCACTCCATATACATAGATACATACATCGGAATTTCCGAAAATGGGGGGACCCTAATATAGTACCATAAATAGTAGGATCCTTTTGTAAGTACCCCAAACTAAGGTACCCCTAATTTTTCGGAAACCCTAAACCCTTATAGAGCCGTTTAAAGGAACCCTGAAGCCCTAAGGTATCCCTAATTTTCGGAAACTCCCATATTTTTTCACTGATCCCAGAGAAAGGGCACGTCTCCGTTTCAGCTTCGGCTCCAGCGAAGAGCCACCTGACACGTCAAAGGCTTTGGGGGTTTAGGGTTTAAAACCTAAACCCTAAACCCCTAAACCCTAAACCCTAAACCGTATAGGGTTCCGTGTTTAGGAGGCTTTATGGTTTTAGGGTTTAGGAGGCTCCTGGGGTTTAGGGTTTGGAAGGCCTTTGGGGTTTAGGGTTTGGACGGCTTTTGGGGTGTAGGATTTAGGGTTTGGGAAGCTTGTAGGGGTCAGGGTTAAGGGTTCAGGGCCACCTGACACCTCAAGGGGATTTTAACTTCAGGGTTTGTTGTTCTTTTGGGGGCTTTTGGCAGAGCTGCACGGCGTTAGGCTTGAGGTGTTTACATTGGGACATGCTTTTCTTACATACGTGTTGTTTTTGGCTTAGCTCTTATAAGGGCCTGCATTTTCTGTTGATTCGTGTGGGTTTTCTAGTGGCTTATCTGGGCGTCATGGTGCCTGGTGCCGTGTAAGCCCTTTCCGCTGCGGGCCTAATGGTGGCTTACCTAGAGTCCTCGAGTTTGGGGTGTGACGTTTTCTAGACCCAAGAGACCTACGAACAAAAAGGGTGCACTTTTTGGGTTATAAAGGGGCTTATAAGGGAACCTGAACCCTAAAAAAGGGAATAAAGGCCTACTCTAGGTCCTAGTTTTCCAGAAGCAAACTACCTCAAGATACTGTCCAAGCGGTGATTTTGACGCACTTCCCACCTGCTTATTTGTATTGGTATTGCTATTTCCTTGCAACTGCTACTGTTGCTATTACAGTTGTTGTTGTTGTTGTCATGATACAAACGAAAAGGAAGAGTACACAAGATCGGTGAGTCAGCATAATAGCAATAACCAATGATGCAAATAATACGAATAATACATGTTGATGACTGCAGTTACGATGATTACGGTTACGATTCTTGTCATATCTATATACCCATACGTATGCATGTATGTATGTATGTATGTATGTATGTATGTGTGTGTGTATGTGTGTGTGTACATTTGTGTAACAGCAGTGTGTCAGACTGAAGAAACTCATATATTTTTGTAGACATACAGATGTATGTGCCATGTCAAGAAATGAAGCAATGGAAGGACGCTTGCCTTGAAAAGGAAAAGATCCACAAGGGCTCTGTTGTTGGAGGGTTGTGTAGGTGCTTTACAGGGTTGTTTAAGCGTGTTAAGTGTGTGGTCGATGGGTTTGCTGGCGAACCACAAACCCAGAGACTCCAATATCCCTGAATGAAGGAATACTCCTTGAATCATATATTAGGGAGCCTACTAGAATCCAAGGTATATTCCTTAATTAAGGGATCTTGGAGTCTGTGGGAAATGCTTTACCCTGAACCCTAAGTCTAAACCCTGAACCCTTAACCCTAAACCCGCCTAAACTCTAAACCCTACCTGCACCGAAGTGTCAGCACGGTTTACCAACCTGCAGACGGCGCGGACCGATCCATGGCAAAAAGCTCAAACCTGGGCTGAACATGCACCAAACACAATGAAGGGTTTAGGGTTTAGGGTTCAGGGTTTAGGGTTCAGGGTGTGGGGTTCAGGGTTTACGGTTCAGGTTTAGGATTCAGGGTTCAGGGTTTAGGGTTCAGGGGTTTAGGGTTCAGGGGCTTGGGTTCAAACGCTTGGGTTTAGCAGCTTCGACGGGTCTAGGGTTTAGCGGATTGGAGGGTTTAGGGCCCCAAAAAACCACATAAGCAAAAATTTAGGACAGGGATATCCCATATAAACTCCCTTATAAGGAAGCCGAACGTGATCTTGCAGAATGCGCTTTGGGAACTCTTCATACAGGCGGTATGGTTCTCTTTCTCAAAAGGTTCGAACGGGTCGCTCAGGTCTTTTTGAGCTTCCTGCCCGTGCTCTTGGATGGGTCGGCCGTATGAACGACAACAAGTCGCTCCGATTACATCGCCCAGCAATCTGTTGAATTTTGCCTTCAGAAAGGCGCCAGTGGGTGGATCTTCGCACTCCTCGGGACCCCATCTTTTGTTAAGGTGTGCTGCAAAGTTTGCAAGGTCAGTGTAATAGTGGAAGGACACCGTACCATAATTATAAGGCTTTACTCCAGCCTCAACTTCAATCCCATCCTTCGATTTGCGTTTGCGACCCTTGCTCTCCAGGATCGCTGGAGCCTCTGTTGAGTCCTGGGGCAGGGCGCCGTTCCTTTCAGCTCAGCGAAAAAAGTCTACCATGTCTAGTGAAGAACCCTTCCCGTTTCGTGCTTCCTGTCCACATGCGCCAGACCCTCGCGGAAAGCAAGCTCTCCCTTCCTTACTAGTAAATATTTAGGTTGCTGAAGAACTGGGGGGGGGGGTCTCACGCCTTGACTCTTGACTCCTGACTTCGACAATGAGTGCTCGAAAACAAACCTGAAGATTTCAGCCTTCAGCCCGTTCACGTTCAAGGTACGAGGTAGAGGGTGTGCCCTAAACTTGAACCCTGAACCCAAAACATTAAACCCCACACCCTAAAACCCTAAAACCTAAACCCTAAAACCTAAACACTAAAACATAAACCCTAAAACATAACCCCTAAACCCTAAACCTTAAACCCTAAACCCTGCCTTTTTTCATAATTTCTGAATCCTGAACATAAGGGTTGAGGGCTCGATTCTCTCGACTAGAGAAAGTTCGGAGCTGAAGACTGTTCAGGTTGAGGGTATGGGGGTTTAGGGTTTAGGGGTTCAGGGCTTAGGGCTTAGGGTTTAGGGTTTAGGGTTTGGGGTTTAGGGTTTAGGGGTTTGGGGTTTAGGGTTTAGGGGTTTAGGGTTTATGGAGGTTTGGGCCTAAGATTGTCAACACTGCCAGTAAACAAACCACTAGGACTGAGGGTAGCACCTGCACTGTTAGTAGTTGTGCCAGCAGCTAGCATTACGAGCTTGTCCGAGCAACTGCGGCAGCATCATCAACATCAACACCACCAGCATCACCAGCATCATCATCATCATCAGCCGCAGCATCATCAGCAGAACCAGCACCCCAAGCAACAGCAACTACATCGACGTCATCTTCACCATCGTTGTCGTCATCATCATGGTGCCCGAAACCCCCAAAACTCGAGAGCCCGCATACTGTAAAAGCCTCGCAGCCTTGACTGAGAAACACTGATCAAAGGGCTTAATGGGGACCCCTACCCTATATGTAATGGGGCTATATAATGGGTTAAGGGTCCCTCCTTTTACCCTTGGATTGACTGAGGAACACTGAACCCATACAGAACCCCAATACAGTTGTTGGGCCCACTATTCTATGATCATAACAAGGAACCCCCAGCATAGTATAGGTACTTATTAAGGCCCCTATAGTAAGCCCCAAAACCCTGCCACCGAAAGAAAAACAACGTGGCCCCAAAACCCTCAACCCGACACAAACCTAAACCGTTAAATCCTTAACCGAAACCTTACCCCAAGGGTCCAAGTACCTCTTAATCACACCCTCTCCAAAATCCTAACCTACATACCTACTATCCTAAAACCGAGTACCCAATTATTGGGTCCTTTGGACCCTTGGGGTTACAGAAGCCTTTACACGACCTCAGCCCAGAGACTCCAATATCCCTTAATTCAGGAATATTCCATAAACTGCGGTAGGACCCCTAATATGATTTAAGGTATATTCCTTAATTAAGGGGTATTGGAGTCTCTAGGAAATCAGCAGAACAACACGAGCTCCCGACTCAACCAGCTTTCCTTCCGGGATGGGCTCCGTAACAAGGCCATGCGATAGGCCGGACTTCCTGCTTTCAGGCTTGGGGCCTACTTAAAGGATCATGGGACTTAGTAAGTAAGGTTATAAGTAGCTTATAATTAGAATAACCCCACTTAGGGGACTTATAACCCCAATTATATCCTACTTAACCTACTTATTAAGTCCTATGGGCCTTTAAGTAGGTAAGAAACTACATGGTTCGTATGGACTGAGACCCTGAGGTTATGGGGGCTGTAGTTTTAGAGCTTTGATGGCTCTGTGACTTTGTGCCTGTTGCTTAATTTCAATCTCTAGGATTTAGGGTTTAGGATATAGGGTTTAGGGGTTTAGGGGTTTAGGGTTTAGGGGTTTAGGCTAGGATGCCCAGTAGCCTACGAGTAAAGAGGGCTCCCTTGGTATTGGGGAACCTGGTAAGGAACCTACTGTTGATGATCTAAATCCTGCATTACCTTAAGGACCCTAAACTATGGGAATTATGGTATATTCCTTATTATGGGTAATGCAGGATTTATATCATCAACCGTAGGACTACAAGAAGGGAAAAAGGTCCCACTGGGAGTCCATAGTTTAGGGAAGCCGATTCAGATGCCGTCCATGGCTCCGGGTCAGAAGGTTCTTCTGGGTTTAAGACTCTCCTCCATCATACCGTATATACATTGTACCATGATTAGATACCATAAGGGCTGTAATCATTATCAGGGTTTGGGTTTTAGGTATGAAAGTTCTTAGGTGTTTAGACCCAGGGAGTCGAGTCCAAAAGAAAAACTCATCTCGAATATGAGCTACTGTCAATTTGGGCTAGGATACCCAGTAACCTAAGAATAAATAGGCCTCTCTTTTTGGTATTGGGTAGCTTTATAAGGAACCTAGGACTACAAAAAGGGAATAAGGGTACTACTGGGCATCCTAGTGGGGGTTTAGGGTTTAGGATGGTTTAGGGTTTGGAGATTTGCGATAATCGGCCATGCGTCCTAAAATCCACACCTGCAGGATAACATTATACGATATCTCGCAGGAGTTCATGCTACATCCCTCCAGGATATGATAGCATGAGCCCTTTACAAATTCCCAAGCTCCTTCTGACAAGTATCGTATGATCCCAAGCAGTGCCTGTAGCTTTCGCGATATGCGGCTGGTGTACCACGACGAAAAGAGCTCCGGCAGTCATACACGCCCTCGTTCTGCTTTACAGCCTTCTGTCAGCCAGCCGTTGTCCGAAAAGAAGCTGTCAGGCAAAAAGAAAGGGCGCACCCGAGGCAGCTACCTTCACCCTTCACAGCCAAGTAGCCCTAAAGCAGGTGCAGGCATTGTCAGCGAGTAAAAACCAGCGGCCTGAATAAATGGAATAGGGTGTCGGCGGATATTATACATCAAACCCTAAACCCCTTCAAGTTTAGTCTAGCAGTTCTGGGGCTGTGTTGTATCACCCTTGATCCTAATGGGCGGCTCGAAAGCCTGTCTGGCAAGCAAGCCAAGGCGTGAGGGTTTAGGGTTTAGGGCATATTCAGAAAGCTCCTCTACACCCCAAGCCCTATAGACCCTGAACCCAAAACCCTATGAAGGCTAGGCAGTATCCAGGCTAGCTTGAGATATAGCGTCACTACTCAGGGAGCCCAGTCCTGCTGAACTATGGAGTACATATTAAGTTGTAAGGGGCTTCATACGGTTGATGATATAAATCCTGCATTACCCATAATGAGGAACATACCATAGTTCCCATAGTTTAGGGGTAGTTCTCTAAATCAGGGTTTCACTGGGTTTTCTTGTTTACAAGGGTGCTGTACTTGTACTTAAAGGCTCATGGGACTTAGTAAGTCAGGTTGTAAGCAGGTTATAATTAGGATAACCCGACTCAGGGGACTTATAACCCCAAATATAACCCACTTACTAAGTCCCATGATCCTCTAAGTAACCTAAACTACCCCTTATAGAACCCTTATATTATAGATCCCTAAACCCTTTAAGGAGCCCTTTAAGGAACCCTAAGTCCCGTGATCCTTTAAGTAGTAGGCGAAACTACGGGTCCTCCAGGTATTATGGGGTTTAGGTCTTAGAGTTTGCTTGAAATCGAGGAGGTTTCCACCAGACCTGCGAGGTTCAGAAACTTAGATATCCGTACGGTTGATGATATAAATCCTGCATTACCCATGATAAGGAACATGCCACTATTCCCATAGCTTAGGGTCCCTAAGGTAATGCAGGTTTTATATCATCAACAGTATCTCAAGCAAGCCGAGGATCTGGGGCTTCGCCCTATGTAAACTACCATCACCTACCACATTTTGTGGGTATCTTGTTAAGATCCAGAGTAGAAAAAACGTGTGGAAACCCTATAAAGACAGGTAGGTTTTGGCAGCTTAGTCTACGTCAGAAACTGAGTCCTAAACCCCAAAGCAAAAACGTCAAGACTCAATCCTAAACCCTGATGTACCCTGGTCCTGCAGCCCTACGGTGGGAAGAAGCACCCCAAACCACACTCGTAAACCCTACCTTAATTAACTCGGAAGAATATACCTTTTTGAGGACTTATATAAGGAAATCACAATAAGGAAGTCTAAAAAGTCAGGTTACTCAGCGTTAAGGTAAAGCCTAAAGCCTGAACCCCAAACCGTTAACCCGGAAGCTGCCAATTCTGAGCGTCGGACTCGAGATAGTTGAGATGACTGGCAGCAGGGCATATGGGAGTTTCCGAAAATTAGGGGGGTACCTCATTTTGAGGTCCTTGTAATAGGGATCCTACTATTTAGGGTACGATATTAGGGTCCCCCCCAATTTTCGGAAACCCCCCCCATAGAACGTGTCGGAATAACTACTACTGCTTCCTCCTTGCAGTCCCTGCATAACTGCAGCATACTATACCCAAACCCAATTCGAACTATAAAGGCGCCAATACTATGCTTTACGAAACATAACTTCCATCTTAGACCAAGGCCTAAGCCCTAAACTATGGCAGTTACCATGCTTTACGGAATACTTTCAAGCCAGAGTAGGGTTCCTTTCTACTTGGAGGCTCATGGGACTTAGTAAGTAGGTTATAATTGGGGCTATAAGTCCCCTAAGTGGGGTGATCCTAATTATAACCTACTTATAACCTTACTTACTAAGCCCCAGCAGCCTTTAAGTAGACCCTAAACCCTAAACCCTTATTGTAGACTTATAGAACCCTATAGGACCCTTTAAAGGGAACCCTAAGCCTTTAAGTATTCAAGCACGGTACTCCAGAACCCAGGTGGTGGGGGCTCTGGGCTCTGGGGTGTCCTATCGTAAAACTCTAAACCTGTGCGCTTTCGGACTTAGGGGCGTAATGGTTTAGGTTAAAAGTTTGGGGTTTAGGGTTTGGGGTTTAGGGGGGGGCGTAATGGTTTAGGTTTAAAGTTTGGGGTCTAGGGGCTTGAGGTAAGGTGGAGGGCTCGCAGTTGAGGGAGAAGGACTATCTCATTAGGAAAAGACCGATTCGTCCCCTGGATACGCAGGGCGAGTTGCCCAAACTAAACATCCATAAACGGAATATCCAAACCCTAAACCCTGACCCCGTGTGGAGTAAGTGTGGATGCTTGAAGGGGTAGATTAATTGTGGAGGCCTCGATAAAAATCTTAACAAGGCTTTGGGTTGGGTTCAAGACTTTGCATGGCCAACTGTAACAAGCTGCTGCCAGGTACCCATATTTCACTATACTTGGAGGCCACTACACTCAGAATAGAAACCCTAAACACTAAACCTTAAACCCTTAAACCCTAAACCCTAGCTGTAATCCTCGTTTCCAGTACTGGAACCAAAGCTGCTTCAGGTCCAGCTCATCGGAGATCCCCTGGTCGTCCGTGCGCGTGCCGTCCACCGAACACTGTACCCAGGGACTCCAAAACCTCTTAATTAAGGGAAAGTCCTTAAGTCATATTAGGGATCATCCTACCATAACTTAAGGTAAATTCCTCAATTAACGGATATTGGAGTCTCTGGGTAGTCATGCCTTGGTAGACCGAAGCGATCCTAAGCCTGCACTTACCCTCACTGGCCAGCTAGCGCAGCCAGAGGTCGGGGGAGATTGCCAAACGCTGGTGCCATTGCTTGTAGTGAGCCAGCGCCGCCTGGGCTCCCGGTTCTCAGTAGGTAATGGAGGAGTGGATCCCTATGACAACCCTTTAAGGTCCCTTGTAGTATTCTCCGTAGGTAATGGAGGAGTGGATCCCCATGATAGGCCTTTAAGGTCCCTTGTAGTTGCCTTTTAAGGTCCCTTATAGTCAGTAGCTCTTTAAGGTCCCTTAGAGTAACCCCTTGAGATCCCGTGCAGTAGCCCTTCAAGGACCCTTATAGTAGCGCATTAGGGTCCCTTATAACCCATTCCAGAAGGTCATGGGGCTTCATAAGGTTATAACTGGGGTTATAAGTGCCCTATAACCTTACTTCCAAATCCCAATCGCCTTTAAGTACAACCCATTCCCCCCATTCCTTACTCGGAACTAGGGACTTCTGCAATTCAGCGCTAGACACTGGGGACAGAACAGCACAGCAGCCGGAAGCCCATGAAGCTTTTGGGGCTATCGGTTTAGGGTTTCGGGTTTAGGGTTTCGGCTTTCGGGTTTAGGGTTTCGGGTTGAGGGTTTAGGGTTTCCTGAATAACTTACCTTTTCAGGGTTCCTTGCTATGAGTTCTCTATATGAGTCCTTGAATATGTAGGTTCTTCGGGGTTAAGGTAGGGTTTAGGGTTTCTGTAAACGCATCGGGATTCAAAGGGCAGGTTCTCAGAGAGCCCAATACCCCTTAACTCAGGAATATAGCATAAATCATAATATAAGGCCCCTTATAGTTTAAGGCATATTCCTTAATTAAGGGGTATTGGGCTCTCTGGGTTTAAGGCTTAGGGACTATAAGGGGGGATTATTATCAATTAGCCAACCTCTACAATGAATGAAAGTATGGTTGTCCTGTGACCAAGGAAGGACAGGCCAGTATTGGTGAACACGGGGACACTACACCAACATCACCAACCTCACCCCTCCAACCTCCTAAGCTTTAAACTCAAACCCTCCAAGCTCTAAAGTCTGAAACCCTACACAGCCATGTTCAAGGGTGGTGGGCCTTGGGACTTCAAAATAAACCTACTGTACCAGAACTCTGTTGAGACTAAGGAGTCTGGTTTAGAGTTTAGGCTTAAACCCAAATAGATCTCAGACTCTGACCACTTCGCCTTAAAGCTTCAGACAGCCCTAAAGGAACATCAAAGGAACCCCTGTAGGAACCCTTAGACGAATCCTCATAGTGCCCTTAACGGTTTACAATGGGCGCCGGAATAGTTTTTGGGGTCTAGCGCTTAAGGCATTAAGGGAAATATTCCCACCCAATCCCTGTATAATTGAGACCCTGCTGACAGTATTCGGGGCCCTATACCAGGGTGTTGGGAGTCTGGTCCATGTGGCGCTCTTATGAAGCTTCCCTGCCAGAAGTGAAAGGCCATGTAGGTTATATTGCTTTACAGGGTCTTATACGGGAGTTCTTATGGGTGGTTAAAGAGGCTCATAAAGGCCAGGCTTCATGATTTTAATGAAAGGTTTAGATACTTCACCGCTTTGTGGCCTAAAACCCCAGCGCCAGATAGAGACGTCTGGCCTTTGACACAGCCCGCGGCGTAACTGGTGCCTGCCGAAAAAAGGTGAGGGAAACTCTGCCGTATTTGGCCGTGGGTATTTTCCAGGGTGTAACAGGTCTACCGCCGCGTGTCATTACTTTTTTGTTAAACAAACACACTAGCCTAGAGCCGTCCAACCCTGAACCCCAAACCCAAACCCTAAACCCTACTTGAAGGATCATGGGATTTAGTCTAGTAAGTGGGTTATATAATACGGGTTATAAGTCCCCAGGTGGGGCTATCCTAATTCCAATACTAACCTACTTACTAAGTCCCATGAGCTTTTAAGTAGACCCCAAACCCTAACAACACCACCCCTAAACCCCTAAACCCCAAACCCTTGAAACCCTATAGATTCCTTAAAGTAACCCTTATAAAGAAGGGACCCCTAAACCCCTAAACTCCAAACCCGTAAAAACCCTATAGATCCCTTAAAGGAACCCTTAAAGGATCCCTTAAAGAGACCCTAAACCCACCGAAACCACGAAGCCCCCAAAAGAGCAAAGTAGAGCCGAGACAAGGCTGAGAAATCGGCTTTGGGATTTAGGGCTTACTTAAAGGCTCTTGGGACTTAGTAAGTGTAGGGTTCCTTCAAGGGTTCCGTTAAGGGATCTATAAGGGGGAGTTTAGGGTACTTAGAGGATCATTGGACTTAGCAAGTAGGTTATAATTGGGGTTATAAGTCCCCTAAGTGGCGGGGTTATCCTAATTATAACCTTACTTATAACCTTACTTACTAAGTCCCATGAGCCTTTAAGTAGGGCTTTAGGGTTTCAGAGGTTCAGAGATTGGGATTTAATTATGGTTAATGGATGTTTCTGGTTTAGGACTGTGGGAATTAGGGCGTATAGGGTTTCGGTTAAAAGCCTGAACCCCACAAGCCAACGTCATCCATGGCCTTTGGCATTGCCCACCGTTGCCACCACCCCATATGCGCGCCTTAGGACTGAGGACGTGGACTTTGTTTACGGTTTAGGAAGTTTAATGGTGGATGGCTTTGGGTTTGGAGGGTTTGGTTTAAGGTTTAAGGCTGGCACAGTGTGACAAACTGGGTAGCGTTTCGGAATTGGGGTTAGACGTCATAAGGTAAGCCATATATAGCAGCACCCAAAGACTGCCATCTGAAAGAAGCCTCACACACCCCGAACCCTTAGGCACTATAATCCGAAACCCTACACCCCAAAAGTAATCTTGAAACAACGACCACACAACCTACCTTGTTGCAGGGTCTGTTTAGCAACTTCAGTGTGCAACTCGTAGCGAGGCACCCTAGAGCTTTGCTGGTCATGGTAGTTGAAGGTCAGCACAATAGCTACTATGTCATATTCTATCACAGTATATCGTATTATACTATATATATATACTGTACTATATCATATTCTTTATAATCTTGTATATGACAGTACAATCATTGTTACAATACTCTCAAGACGATTATGCAGCACTTAGCTCACGCAAACCTGCCTCTACTCGACACCCCCTGACCACCAAAACCGTCCCGAGAAGAGTTTAGGCTCAACCCTAAACCCTCAACCTAGGGTTTGGGGCAGAGACAGCCTAAGTTGTTAAGGCTCCTATACTAATAAAAAGGGCTCACTTTTTGGCACTGGGCAACTTTATAAGGAACCTAGGGCTACAAAAAGGGAAAAAGGGCCCACTGGGAGGCTTAGCAGCTCAATTTTCAATTCTGCGATTCGCTTCCCAGCTCCCTCTCTGGACACAGACCCAACACTGACACCCCAAGCAAACCCTACCAGGACCCCCCCAAGTGCCCTCGAATGGAGCCCTTATGGTCCTTAACAGCGGCTCTATGCAAACTCTAAATCGTAACTCTTCAACACCTGCCCGGCTAAATCCGGACCGAACCCCTACTACGTACAGCGTATGCACTTTAACAGCCCTGAACCAACGAAAGCTGACCTAAGCCAATCGAGCAATACCTTGTAAAGTTTAACCCATCAACTCAGTTTCAACCCCGACCAGCAACCACAATTTTTAAAGAGTATATAAACTGCCAGTCTTTTCGCAGGGGCTTAGGCATGTGAAGGTTCGTAAACAGGTGCTCAGAATGTGTCGCACCCCGAAATCCTAAACCCTGAAACCCAAAGCCTAAACCCCGCACCATGAAACCCGAAACCGTAAAGTTTAGGGTTTAGGGTTTAGGGTTTAGGACCCCCAAAATCGAAACCCTAAACCTTGCACCAGAAACCCTGACCTGACGAGATGCTTGGCAACAATCAGATCGGATCTGCGTGGGCGTGAACGCCTGCAGGTCCCTCTATAAAGCTTGAAACGGTCTGGCTTCAATGAAAGCTTGGAGATTCAACTTTCGGATGTTGTTTAGGCGGTTTAGGGTTTAGGGGGTGGTGGCCTCCCGAAACTCCAAGCCATAATGCCATAAACTTGAAATCCAAACCTGAAGGACCAAATGACCCTTGAAAGTAGGGGCCCTATACCCATATACTATGAAACCCTATATGGTATATAAAACTTGAACCCTTTTAGGGTTCATGTCGTCCTTAAGGAAATCTTGAACCCTGAACCCTGTTTAGGGTGTTAAGGTCAGGATGCCCTACACTCTACATGATTCTCTAGGATACTCAGTAACCTAAGAATAAAAAGGCCTCTCTTTTTGGTATTGGTAACTTTATAAGGAACCTAGGACTACAAAAAGGGAATAAGGGTACTACTGGGCATCCTAGTTAATGTAAGAACCTGATTAAGAAACCCTGGGCCTACAACCCCCAAAATAATTGGATTGATATAACGAATAAAGGCCCAAGGTTCCTTAATCAGATTCCTACATTAATCCTAATATAGGAGCCTTACTCAAATTAGTGTAGGTATTTATTGACAAGAGTGCAAGGCCAAGGGTTCAGGTGCTATGGCTTTTGCACTGGCTTCTTCTCTTGCTTCGGGCGGACAGGTGCCGTGTCGGAACATGAGTAGATCCTCGGCAATGGTGCATAGCTTTGTTCTTTATCTCCAGCGTTGGTATGATAACTCCGCCGAAGGACTTCTGGCCGAAAGGCCTCTAATCATGCAGGCAGTTCTGCGGGAGAAGGAGAAGGAACGGGCGAAGCAGCCCGGAACCGCGGTGCCACATACACACCGTCACCAACATTTGCAAAGAGCCTTGTAAACATACCCTGACGCCAACCTCATGCACACCGTGAGTTGTACGGTTGTCGCTTGTCAGGCCCTACACGCAAAGCTTTGGATGTCACTCTGTAGCAGTCCACGAATACCAAATAAAAAAGGAATATGCCTTGAACTATAAGGGGCCTTATATGGGCGATTGTCAAAAGTACGGTTCCCTTTTTGGGTCCATATAATACGGCACCTATTATTTAGGGTACCCAAAACCGGACCGTAATTTTGACAACCACCCCTTTGTATGATCTGAGCTATTGGGCTCTCTGGGGTGGGTTCTTCGGCCTCAAAGCATGTAATCATGTTCTTAGGGCTGTAGGCTTTGAGGATACGGCTGATGATATAAATCCTGCATTACCTCAAGGACCCAAAACTAAGGGAAATATGGTATATTCCTTATTATGGGTCATGCAGGATTTATATCATCAACCGTGTTTCAATATGGCACTAGAGTTTACCAATGAAGCATGCAGTCGTTGGAGCGGATAGCAACACCAACAACCTGATAAATTGACGCAAGGCAAAAGGCTCAGGCGAGGGTCCCGAAGCTCTAACCCCAAACCGCAAGCCCTGGACGGCCCTAGACGTTTGCACCCAAACCTTGCCGAAAATCCTGACCATTAAACCCTCGACCCCTATGGAAGGGTAGCCCTTCAACCCTAAACCCTAAACCGGGAATCCTTCAGAAACAGAAACCCTTGCAGAACCCCTCGCTGTTCAAGCACCCCAACCGCCAAACTGTAAACCCTTCCTCGTAAGCCCAAGCGTGCATGGGAACCGTTTGGAAACCCTTGTGGGATCACGACAATTCCAGCGCTGAACCCTAAGCCCGAAAATCGCAAATCATCCTAAACCCTTGCTCCCCGCCAAACGGAACGTTTTCTCTAAGGCTCAAAATAGCCCAAAAGCCTTATATAGTATTGTCTTTGGGTCCAAAAGCCTTAAAATATGAGTCCTTAGAGCCTAGGGGTTTTAGAAACCCAGACGAAAACCTGTTGCATTCAGGAATGCAGCCTAAATCCTCGACCCTAAGTCGAGCCCTAAAGCCTAAGCTCGCGAAAACTCGAAGGCCCTAATCCCTAATTAAACTCTACACAAGCATAATCTCTAAACCCTAAAACCCCAAACCCTCGCCGCCCTGCTGCGCTCATCCAGCGATTCGAGTGTAGCCATCGGCGAATTTCTGAAGCTACAGAGCTTTTAACCTACGCTAGGCCGCGGCCTTAATCGGCAAAATAAGGCTCCTTCCAAGGGTCGGGGCTTTAGTAAAGATAGGGTTCTGTCCAAGGCTCTGTAAGGGCGTGTTTTGCGTATTCAGTATAGGAGCCTGAAAATTATTCAGTCTTCTCTGTTACAGTACTGTTAGATTCTACTACTCCGGGCTGTCGTTTGATGATGAGGTTCCGCATAACGGGCCCCTGGGGGTTAAAGGGTTTTCATTAGCATATGTTTTGGTTTAGGGTTTAGGCTTTAGGGGGTTTCGGTTCTTCCGTGAGGGTTGGCTTGGTCTAGGGGTGTAGCACAAGCCCGCAGCCATATTTCGGCGCAGCGCAAGGTTCACTACTTAGAGGATCATGGGACTTAGTAAGTAGGCTATAATTGGGGTTATAAGTCCCCTAAGTGGGGTTATCCTAATTATAACCTACTTATAACCTTACTTACTAAGTTCCATGAGCCTTTAAGTAGGACACAGTCTCAGCGAGCTTCGGATGGTTTCGGACGCGGGGCCAGGGTTTCGGGTTCAGGAGCTTAGGGTTTGGGCTTCAGGGTTGAGACCCCACAACCCTCAACAGCACACCAGCAGCCCCCTACAGCCGGCGGAGCCAGAGGGCGGCTGCAAAAGCATGCTGCCAGCTTCGGAAAATCGTGCTGCTACAGGGTTTTGGGGTTTAGGGGTGAGGGTTCTAGGCTGTGGGAATACTTAAGTCAACAAACGCTATCCCGAAAGAGCCTAATGCCCCTTGATGAAGTATTCTACCTTACAAATCAAAACCAACGAAAGATCCCGCGGCATCTCAAGGGATGCTACTCACGTACAAGGTGCCGTCTGGGTGCTCTCATTTTCCCAGAGACTCCAATATCCCTTGATTGAGGAATATTCCTTAAATCATAGTAGGGATCGTACTACAATTTAAGGCATCTTCCTTAAGTCAGAGATATTGGAGTTCCCGGGTTCCTGCCACTTCTGCCTGCGCACGTCTGGCAGCTAATATGGTACGGGCTACGATTGGGTGGCAAAGGAAGGCTTGCACGAAGTGAACCTTAGGATGTAAGGTTCCGGGATTAATATAGGAGCCCTAATGATTAGAATAGGGTTTGGGGGGCCTATTCTACTACAATTACAATACCGAACCTCCAAAATAGTATAGGTGATTATTCAGGCCCCCATAGTAGTTCATATCAAACAGAGGCAAGATCCTCGCCTGCTCACGGAACGGAGAAACGCCATACAGCATGATGGCCACGTCCTGCTCTCGTTCGTTGCGCATATTCAGCCTAACTTCAAGTTCAAGCCCTACCTGTGGCCCGAAAAACCGACCTTTTTCAGGACTTATATACAGAAACCATAATAAGGAACCTCAAAAAGGTAGGTCTTTTCGGCTACAGGTATGATTCCAAGTATACAAATACTACCGACTTTGGGGTCTAATGTCTATAAATACCACCTACTTTGGGCTATTGGGAGTCTTAGGGAAGGTAACCAGGCTAATAATACCCGCAACATCTGTCAGTTTCCGAAAATTAGGGTACCAGTACCTTATTTGGGGTCCCAGTAAGGATCCTACTATTTAGGGCAATGTATTAGGTTCCCCTATTTTCGGAAACCTCCATCTGTCAGGAGTCTTCTCAACCACGAGCGCAAGTCTCCCAGGATTCGGTTTTGTCTCGGGGTCACCAGCTTCGCGCTCGACGGCGAGTGGGGCTTGGGCTTGGGGCATCTTTGTCCCGCATCGGCTTCCCGCAGGCGCTGCTTCGGGCATCCTTGGAGGTTCGTTGAAGAAAAAGACTAGGTGGGGCTTTTAAAGCCTTTGAAAAATATTAGTAGATAAGATCCTCTTAAGCCCAATAAGGGAAAACGTAAAATGTCCCAAAGCCCTACCCAGGGTTAGGGTTTACGAGTGTTGGGTTTAGGGGTTGGGGGTTTAGGGGTTTAGGGGCTCGGGGGTTCAGCTTAGGGTTTAGGCTTTTAGGCTTTATAGGGTTCAGGGTAAGCCCTTGTAACATGAATCTGATAGGTTGAATTATCCCTTGAGTGGGTTGATCTGCAAACAAAAACCGCATCAGCTTTTACCACAATTAAGGATAATGTTGATGTATGACCTTACATCACACTCGAAGGCACACACCCCTTCAAAACCGGGCTACAAACCCTGAAGCCTAAACCTCTCCTAAACCCTAAAACCCTAAACCCAAACCTCTAAACCCTAACCCCTAAACCCCAAAAGGCAACCGTAAACGGTTTTAGAACGAGATCGAGGCTTCTCGGTGGAGGCCCTGCTTCTCGAACTCCGAATTTTTGCCGGTAGCATCCGAAGGTCCAGTCCGTCGTGAAGCTAAAGATGATGAGGAATCCTCTGTGTGGAAGGGTCTAGGGTTGGGGTGGGGTGGGGGGGGGTAGGGTTTAGACTTAGAATCGGCCTTAACAATTAGAACAAGGTTTTGGGGTATATTGTCAAAAACTGTAAGTAATAATGAACACTGAGGAAAACACTTACTACAAATTATTCCAACTTCTATAATTACCGTAGGAGTTTTGGGGTTGGCAAGGTTTACGGTTTCGGGGTTTGGCACGTTCGCGTTCGGCGTTAGGGCTGTAAGATCGAGAATCCTCTTGCGAGCATCAGGTCACCCGGGATCCGAAGTATCCAGGTCTGAGTAGTTCTCACGCTCTCGCGCCAGGGCATCTGCATGCACCTGTGGGCTAGCAAGGGGCACATCTTGACGGGCACATGGTACAGATCCATGTGATTCTCCGGGATCGTAGACCATGCACCCTGAGTTCAAAACTGCCAAAAGCCCGGACACCAGAGATAAATCACAAAAAACCCAGACCTTCACCTAGTTCCGCAGCCGCCCATAAGAACGATGCATTCTGTATCCTATTGTTCAGTCATTACGAGGGAATGACAAAAAGCAATAAAAAGTCTACGACTGGGAGAAACCAAACCTGAAGGACCAAATCACCCTTAAAAGTAGGGGCCCTATACCCATATAATATACTATGAATCCCTATATGGTCTATGAACCTTAAACCCTTTTAGGGCTCATTTCGTCCTTAAACCCCAAAACCTACAAAAACCCATAATAACCCTTATAGGAACCCTTTAAAGGAACCCCAAAATGAACCTTAAACCCTTTTAGGGTTCATTTCGTCCTTAAGGAACTTGTCAACCCTGAGTCTGCAACCCTATCACTAATCCGCCTAGAAGAAGGAACCTAGACACTCCAATATCCCTTAATTAAGGAATATACCTTAAAATCATATTAGGGGTCCTACCATAATTTAAGGAATATTCCTTATTTAAGGGATATTGGAGTCTCTGGGAACCCTCGTAGAACTCGTCAGGGAACCCTTTTCTTGCAAATTACTTCTTAAAGGCTCATGGGACTTAATAAGTAAGGTAATAAGTGGGTTATAATTAGGGTAGCCGCACTTAGGGGACTTATAACCCCAATTAACTAAGTCCCATAATCCTCCAAGTATGAGTGGGCTCTGAGCACGACAAGTCATACAGAAGCCTTCGGAGGAACCACGACGAGGATATTACAGGAACCCGAAACCCAAACCCTAAACCTTTAATCCCCTAAATCCTAAATCCCTGAATCCCTGAAGCCTGATTAGCCATATACAAGCCTTCAACGAAGCCCGAGGACATTACGGGAACCAGAAACCCTCTCCCCTAGACCCTAAATCCCTGAAGCCCTAAAACCCTCTATACTCCAAACCCTAAACCCTTTTCCCTAAGCCCTAAATCCCTGAAACCCTACAACCCTCCATACTCTATATAGTAAACCCCCCAAAAGTTGGAAACCGGATGAAGGCCAAATAGTGCTAGGATTCCCTATACATTACTCTTAAGGATTGAGGCTATTGGGTTTTGGGGCTTCTACTGTAAGCCCTAAACAGCTCATCCCCGAGAGCCTCGCGTTCTTTGGGCCCTGCATCGCAGGAAGGACTGGGTTCCAGATCGAAGGCACCGAAGGCAGGATCGTAGGATCCACAGGCCAACATAGCACCTCAAGGGTTTATAGTAAAAGCCAGAAAGTTGGAATATGATTATCCTAAACCCTTTATGGTAAATTATAGGGTATCCTACCCTGAAACCATATTCCAACTTTCTGGAGTTCCCTGTAGGGTTTCAGTGTTTGGGGATGAGGCTGTTTCGGGTTTCAGTGTTTGGGGATGAGGGCGTTTGGGGTTTCAGTGTTTGGGGATGAGGGGGTTTAGGGTTTCAGGGTTTGGCGATGAGGGTTTAGGGAAAAAGCACCTCGAGGGTCCACAGGCCAACATAGCACCGCTAGGTTTCAGGCCCTATGAGGCTTACTGAAGGAACTTAATCACTAGAGCTGGTTTTTGAGGTAGATGCGGGTATGTAAGCCTTTTCGAAACCCTGAGGCGTAGTATTTTGAGAGGTTCTGGTCTCAAGATTATGGTTTTGTATCTGCAGGCCAACACTCCCCGGAGGAGCTCGTTCTACCTTTTTGTTTGGCGGGGTGGGCTGTTAGAAGGTCTGTGCAAGGCTCACTAAGATGCTTTTCTTCTAAGGTCATTGTACGCCTCTTGATGAAGATCTTGATGGACCTTTAGGGCTTTGGGTTCAGGGCTTGTGGCTTGGGGTCGTGTTCGGGGGACTCGAGCTTAGGAGGGCATCCAGTGCTGTACAACTGACCAACCTTTGTGCCTTAAGCCCTGAACCCGATATAAAAGGAGTCCTAAGCAAACCCTGAACCGAGCCCTAAGCCCTAAACCCTTGACCCTCACCTTGAGATTCTGGGCTTTGGAGTAACCAGGGAGAAAAAGTATAGACCTGTTTTTTCATAATTGGCTCCCTGTTAGTTCCGGGGGAGATTATCGTCTGGGGATTTCCGGTTTAGCCTCGACAGTCTGGGCCCCCAAAACGGAAGGTATAATTTTCAATGTGAAGGAAGGTTTAGGGCCGGGAAATATTGGGTCTCAGTGGCTCAGGCCTGTTGAATAAGCCCCCTTTTAAACAATGGGTTTAAACGGCTTGTTTTAGGGTTTAAGGTTCATGGGATTTTGGAAAGCGGTGGGAGAGGCTTGGGGACCGAAACCCAGCATGGAAGTAGGCTGCTACCACCCCTGCAGCTCCAAGCCCAGAAGACATTCCTTCCACAACCCTTAACCCTACATCCACAACCCAACACCAAATATCCCCAAAAGCCCACACCTTGAATCCACAGTAACCTCTAGTAACCGCGATTGTAACCTTTGTAGCAAGCCTTATAGAAACCCTAAACCCTAAACCCTAAACCCTAGTAAGGCTCAACACAAGGTGTCGATATCAACAGAGCCCGAAGCGATGTACTGTATCAAGGCTCTATATTAAACAGCAAGGGCTAATATTAAACATGACTCCAAACCGATATAACCCTAAAACCCCAAGGCTTTCGAGTTAGTAAAAAGACCCAAATCTGGCTTCCCCAAAACCCGTAGATCCCAAACCCTAAACCCTAAAGACTTAGGGTTAAACCTGGCTTCCGAAAAAGACGTAGATCGGGCTATCGCAGCCGAGATGCTCTCACGGCAGGGAAGCTTCCGATTTCGCCCCACGTCCGCGCGGACGTAGCGGATCCTGGGATCTTCCAAAATTCACTCTTGACTTGGTTTAGGGTTTAGGATTTAGGGTTTGGAGGTTTAAGGCACAGGGTTTAGGGTTTTAGGTTTAGGGTTTGGGGCTCAGAGCTTAGGGTTGAGGGCTTAAGGTTTCGGGTTTAAGGTTTAGGGGCCTCATTAAGTAGGATAGGGTGTTGGAGGTATGTCATTACCTTGCAGTTACATTTGGGGACGTTTGGGGACTGTAGAGGATACCTTTAGTAGGTATTCCCGGCCTCTTATCAGGGTTTGGCGGGGCTTTGGGACATTGGGTTTTGAATTTAAGCTTTTACAGTGAACCCAAGAAAGTTGGAACATGGTTTTAGGATGAATAGTGCTGGGATCCCCTCTACTTTGCCTTAAGAGCATGAGGATAACAATGTTCCAACTTTCTGGCTTCTACTGTAGGTTCAGACGGAGGTTCGCTTCGGATTCCGAGCAGGAATGAGTTGGGTGCAATAAGAAATACTCTGACTTCCTGAAGGACCAAATGACCCTTAAAAGTAGGGGCCCTATACCCATATACTATGAATCCCTATATGGTATATGAACCTTAAACCCTTTTAGGGTGCATGTCGTCCTTGAGGTTGTACCAGGTCTTCAAGCCGACATGAGAAAGGATTTCGATTACTAGTCTCCGAAGAAGCAACCGCCAGAATTTCGAGGATCATGGTTGCACTCACGAAAAGTACCAATAAAATCCCCACGTGGCATGAAAAACTAAACCCGAAACTTTAACCGCAAACCCACGGCAGCAAAACCCTGAACCCCAGCTCGAAACTCTATGGATGGAACTCCACGCACGCACGCCACAGCTGCTTCGGTGAATGTCAACTTGCAGGATTGCGTTTGTTGCAAGCCACCGGTGAATCCAAAAGCAATACGGTCTGGTCTGTGGCAAGTTTTCGGTGAGATCAGGATTCCAACATGGGTAGTTGTCAAAATTAGGGTCCCTTTTTGGGCACCCTAAATATTAGGTGCCGTATTATAATAGGGACCCAAAAAGGGACCCTAATTTTGACAACCACCCACATGTCTTTGTTAACTTCCTGCTGAAGAAGATCCTGCAAAGTGGAGTCTGCCGCAAGCTTGCGGGCAAACGGATCCCTCCAATTTGGAATTCCATACCGCAGTTGGCCGTCGAAGCAAGGACGTGGCCAAACCAGCAAGCAAGAAGCAAACGGCAACACGAGCCAGGTGGCACACGGAAACTCGAAAGGCAAAGACACATCAAGAAGTGCAGAAAGAAGCAGGGACGCAACATGCGATAAACACGAAGCTACATGCACGCCATGGCAAGCAAAAGCAACAAAAGCTAAGACTACAAAACAACAGCCGACCCTAAACCCAGACTTCCTAGAGTTCCACGTGAATCGACAAACCCATGGGAACAAAAAACATCGCAAACTCAGTAGCTGTCTTTAAACCCGAACATCCACGGAACAACAAGCCCAAACCCCATGTTAACCCCCAAACCCAGAAATCCGTTGACAAATCAAAACCTCCAGCCCATAACTACCCCTAAACCCGGAAATCCAAACCCCCAAACTACCCCTAAACCCCATAACTACCCCTAAACCCGATAACTACCCCTAAACCCTAAACCCCCCCCAAAGTACCCCAAGCCCCAAAAAAGGAAGACCCAGGATGATCCTGGAAAGCCGAGTTGCGCCAGGCCGACGCGCCTCTCGTTGGTCAAGTTGGGGCCCGACCAGTGCAAGGTCCGGAAGGTGTGCAAACCTTTGACTTTGGGCTGAGAAGTCGGGGTTTATAAGGGACCTAGGTTGAGGGTTTAGGGTTTAGGGAGGATCTGGAAAGTACATCCCCTCCCAAAACTACTAAGGGTACATTATAGGAAGGTGTGCAAACCTTTGGGCTGAGAAGTGAAAAGGAGGGACCCTTCAAAAGGGATCTATAGGGATTCTATAAGGGTATAGGTATAGGGATTCTATAAGGGTATAGGATTTAGGGGTTTGGGGGGTTTAGGGGGTTTAGGGGAAAAGGAGGGCCCTTTGATGGGGACCCCTACCCTATAATGGGCTATATAATGGGTATATAGTAGCTATATGAAGGGTATTTACCTTTGGGCTGAGAAGTCGCGGTTTATGAGGGACCTAGGTTTAGGGTTGAGGGTTTAGGGACCTATAGATCGTAAATCCTAGAACCCTGATCCCTAAACCCTGACCCCTAAACCGATAATCCCTAACATCCTAGTCCTGAAAACCCTAATCCCTGAATGGGTCTGGGGTTCAGGGTTGTAGCTTCAGCTTAAGCGCTTGGCTCTTGCAGCTGAAGGGTCTAGTAAGTAAGGTTTAAGGGTTAAGGGTTTAGGGCCTAGTAAGTAAGATAACGGTTTAGGGTCTAGTAAGTAAGTTAAGGGTTTAGGGTCTAGTAAGGAAGGTTTTAAGCTAGGCTGTAATTAGAATAACTCTACTCACAGCACCTATAACCAAAGTTGATTACAAACCTACTTAGTAAGTCCCTTGGGCCCCTGAGTAGGGCTTCAAGGGTTTAGGCGTTTAGGGGCTTCTGGGCAGCGGCAGGGTTTATTGTTTTAGAGGATAGGGTTGAGGGAGCAGCTGGCTGTTTTCATTGGAGCTAATTTTCTTGGTGAGGGGCTGGGTTGAGGGTGAGGGAGGTGGTGGTCGTAAGAGGTTTATGGCTTCGGGGTTTGAGGCTGGGCTTCCGGGAGCTATGTAGGGGAATCGATAAGAAGAGCAAGGTTCTGGGGTACATTGTAGTACAACATTCGGGACTACAAAAACCTTCTACTACTTAAGGGATCAGGGGCCTTAGTAAGTGGGTGATAATTGGGGTTATAAGTCCCCTAAGTGGGGTTATCCTCATTATAACCTACTTATAACCTTACTTACTAAGTCCCATAAGGGCCCATGAGCTTTTCAGTACTGCTACTACTACTACTACTACTACTACTACTACTACTACTACTACTACTACTACTACTACTCGAGGCATTTTCGAGTGGGTTCTGACAGGTCTGTACCATGCGAAATCTTTCGAGCATGTGTATGGTGTGTCTATATATATATATATATATATATATATATATATATACACACACATCTCTCTCTCTCTCTCTTTCTTTCTGCCGGGCTTAGGGGTCTCGTCGTGACCGGCAGGCTCTTGGCCCTCTCTCTCTCTCTCTCTCTCTCTTTCTGTGTCTCTCTACCTATATATAAGTATATATCTATATATACATTATGTGGAGAGAGAGAGAGAGAGAGAGAGAGAGAGAGAGAGAGAGAGAGAGAGAGAGAGCGAGAGCGAGAGCGAGAGCGAGAGAGAGAGAGAGAGAGAGAGAGAGAGTTTTCTACAAGGGCATTTATGTTGAGAGGATCGAGAGTATGTGGCATGCGTCTGGCTCTGGCGTGTTTGGGTGGAGTGCTTTGGTTGCCCAGAGTTGAGGATTCGAGCTCAGGATTTTCAAAAACAGCTTCAAACGACCAGGTACTAGCTTCCCCTGCTCCCAATTCCACGGGCACTGCATCCTCATCCTCCTGCGCAGGATTGAATAATTACCAGCTTTGTTTCTCAGGGCTCCGTGGTAATTTAGATATACTACAAGATAACCCCCGAAACTCTGCTCAAGTAATTCATTAAAACTCCTATGCTAACAAGATGTTCCGCGATGTTGACATTTCTTTGTGCAAGAGATCCCATCGCTCTGTGCCTCGCAGCTGCACATGATGAGAATGGGCGACTATCGGCGTCGCAGGTTTCACGGCCGAACCAGCAATGGATTTATCGGTGCAAACAACTCGAGCAGTGACGGTGTTACCAGCATCTAGCCACACTTGCATTCATCGTCACAGTTGCCACCACCACAACCACTACCACATTCATCGTCATCACTATACCCATGTCACGTGCACCACATCACCGTTCACCACCATCTCCGGCAGCGTGACCGACATTACGTTTTATACATCTGTAACTATATGTAGCATAGACAGATGCTCAAACATCTAGAACTGCAAAAGGACACACATGTATATATATATATATATATATATATATATACGACTTTTCGATGTGCTCCCGCCGCCAATCGACGTAGCACCAAGGCATGTCCTTAGATGCGCTCCGCAGACAAGTACCTTAGTCAGAGAAGCCGGGGCTTCCCTGCAGCAGGAGCCAAAAGCCAGCACAGTCACATGACAGGAGTGCAAACAAACGTACATGCAGTGAGAGCCTACAGGACCAACCCGCCGCCCCCACAACACACACAACCCAAGCATGTGCGTCGTCGTCAAGTCGTCGACACAGCATGAGCGAGTGCAAGGAACAGGGACCTAGCGTTCGACAGCAGAAGGGTCCCGGCCCCATCTGTTGCGCCAGAGTTCATGTTGCACATGGCACATCCACTCCCTGACGCGTTTGAGATCGACGCCACGCTCACCGCCACTCACAGACCACCCAAATCGAGGCCGTCGGGGGCATTCCCAAAAGACATGCCTATGGGTCCCAAGACATCCGCAATTCCAAATGCATCTGTCCGACATGCCCTCAGGTCTGTTGAAACATGGTTCCATGTGGCAGGAGTAAACGTACTCCCAGACGCCACTGTGGCAGCAGCCGCGCTGGACGAGGCCCAGTCACGGACTCCCTTCCACGAAACTCTGGTCAAACCTGGGCCACCGGCCTGCCAAAGGTCCACGCCATTAAGCTCGTGACGGTCACTGCCAAGCCACTGCAGGGCGATCCACGCCCTCCAGCCCTCACGCAAAGAGTGCTGCTCGCGGCCAATGCGACGCGCTAAGGCCGACGCCGTAAGCCGGGCCCTCTGCCGGATTCCAAGGTCCAAAACAGCATTGCTGAGAGCATGACGCCACTGCCAAGCCCCTGCAACCGTCCAGCCACGCTGGAGAAGCCAGTCCTGCAGAGCCCGGCAGGCAGTCCCTCGGGCAGACGTCCACCTGACTGGCTCCTTAGCCGCTCGCCTAAGCAACCCACCAACTAGCCTAGTCGCCCACAGAACGTCCAGGTGACAGTTGCCCCAGATAAGGGCCCGAACCCAAGGGCTACTGTAATGGATAGTCCCTGCAGCCCTCCACAAACAAGTCCAAAGCTGCTTGGAAGCAGTGAAAGTGGGAGCCCGAGCAATCCATCCGTAGTTCGCTTTAGACAACGCAAAGCCTTTGGCCTCGCGAAGAAACCTGCTGAGCCCAAAGCCAACGCACCCCAGAAGTCTAAGGCGGCCCTTAGCACTACTCAGCCGGAGCTCCTCAGCCTCGGTGTGAGCCCGGGGCCCACAGCACGTAGAAGCACCTAAGATCTTGACATGCTTGTGCACCTCACTGGGCGCAAAGCAATCCTGGAGCTTGTCACGCATCCTAGCGCTAGTCCCAGTGGCTTCAGTTTTAGAGGCGTTCTCAAGGACTCCTACCTGATGGCTCCACGTGGCCCAAGAGCCCTGGTGAGAGACCAGAACTGGGGCGCGGTCCGCAGTAATGGTCCTGTCGTCGACATACATCGTAGTATTAGCGGGAGCCAAAGCACTACTCTGCACTGCCCTGAGCCCCGCTTGGGTCCAAAGCGCCATGATGAGCGGGCCTACCGGGTCACCTTGGGGCTGAACCCCACCAGTCAACGGCACCGGGTGCGTATGCTGTTGAAACTGTATGAAGCGCTCAAGCCGCAACCACACTATCTCAAAGACTTTAACCAGTCTCGGAGGCCATCCATACTTATGCAACATAGCAGTCGTGACATGTGCATCAAGACAGTCAAAAGCCTTAGAAAAATCTAAGGCCAAGACCATGCCCTTCTCGGAGAGCTGATCAAAAATGCGAATGAGAGTAGTGTAGATGTCTTCACCAGTGATAGCACACACTTCGGGAACCAACACAGTCCGCATCCAAGCCTGAAAAGCGTTTGAGTGATAGAGCGTGGACATCCAAAGCCTCCACCAAGTGCTCATGATCGTGATGGGCCGAAGCTTGTCGATAGGCACCGTTTGGTTTTGGACATGCCTCCCGGGTTTAGGCAGGCACACCATGCGCCCCTGGCAAAACTGCTCAGGCACGGCCCCTTGGTCAACCCACATCCTAGCAAGCTCCGCAAAGACGTCGAAGACCCCGCTGGGCAAGTGCTTAACTTCACCCCCCGTCCAACCGTCAGGCGACCCAGCCCCGCCACCCTTACGAGCCCGGGCAAGGAGGTCCGCGCCAGAAGGCAAAGGCAACACCACTTCTTGAGCAGGCTGCTCAACAGTGGCCAACAGAGCAGCCTTCCGAGCATCCAAGGAGGGCCTGTTGCGATCGAGGCGGAGCCAAAAATCACTCCAGTAGTCATAGATAGCACTAGAGGCTTCCACAACCGAGTTGGAACGAACAACCTGACCCTCAGTCCCGACAGTACTGACACAGCTGACGTGCGGATGGTCCTTCGCCTTAAGCCATCTGCTGACTTCAGTAGTGGAGGAGAAGAGACGCTCCCTCCAACTCTTGAGGCTACTGCGTTTCACCTCTTGCTCATGTTGCTGCAGGGAAGCATCAGCCTGTTGGATCAGATTCCGCGTGACTCGAGGACCAGGGGAACCGAGACGACAACTAAGCGACTGAAAGTTGAGGAGCTCCTGAGCAGAAGCCTCTCCAGCCTCAACCTTAGCAGCGATTCGCTGGTAGTCATACAATCTTGCCAAATCCTTGCGCTTTTTCCTAGCAGCAATGTTACCGTTAGAGAGCCTCGGGCCTCTACAAGCCTGGTTCTCCCACGAGACAAGAGCCTGACCACCTTTAGCCTCAAGTCTGGAAGCAGCAGGGGGCTGAACTTGAACGGTCCCAAAAGCCAGTACGAAGGTCTGACGCAGAGCCCGCTGGAACTCATCCCAAAGCTTCTGAACGTCCGTGCAGCCCTGGCGGAGCAAGGAGCTCAAAACCCCAACTTGGGGGCTCGCTTCCCAGGCAGAGGCCAGTGCAGCTCGCCACTGATCTGTAGACACCTCAGCGGGTCGCCGCAAGTCTCCTGTACGTGGCAGGACGGCAACGCGGACAGGTGTGTAGTCGGCCCGAAGCTGGAACCTCAAGTCCTTATGATCGCTGATGCGCTCACTGCCCGCAAGGACAGCAGACATGGCAGCAGATCTGTTACAAGCGACCCAGTCGATCTCCCTCTGCCCTTCCCACCTAGTGGGCTGGCCAGTACCATGGTACTCCCCACCGAGAGCCTGAGCCACCCCCATGACACTAGAGTCGGAAGGAAGCTCGTTGTGATCACCCATGAGGACCCAAGGCTGTTGTGGAGGGATTTTGTCAGCGATAAACAGATCCAACAAAAGCGCGCCAGCCTGCGAGGGACCATCTTCGTGGGGGTGGGTGTACATATTGGCGACCATCCAACCCCCGGCCCAAACACCGAGGACCTCAGCATCGGACATACTACCACCCCATGAGGGGCGCTGAGGGATGGATTTGCGCACCAAAGTGATGACACCACCAGCCCTCCCGTGAGCCCCAGAGGCGCCCTGAGAGTAACCACAGTAACCATACCGAGAGGCGGTTCGGAGAAAACCCGTAGTTTCGCTACTTGACATGGCAGTTTCTTGCAAGCACACGACATCCCGGTTGTCCTGGGACAGATGCTCCCGCATGTAAGTCCAAGCCGCAACCGCACCGCCAGTGTTCAAACAGAGAAAAGACAAGGCCCTGGCCGTAGCACCTTTGCGACCACAGGGGCCCGGGTGCGCGGCCTCACCAACCCTCTCAGCACGGTGCCCACCCAAGCGCTGCTTGGCAGACTGAGCAGCAGACAGGCGCAACGCAGGTCGCTTCTTAGGTCCGCCACCTGAGGCAGAGCGCGCCGAGCGAGGAGCCCGCCCGTTAGCCTTCGCCTTAGCTTTAGCCGACATGGCCGCCCAAGCCCTCTGTCGAGGAGTGAGCGGGTCATTGCAACCCACAAGCTCATCAACTTGAGCAGCGGTAAGACCTGTGTGCCGAAGGAACTCCTGTCCGGCCTCGACATCCCGGTGCTTAAGCCTCAGCCACCACTGACGCTTTCGCGTGCGGACCAGCGGCATTTCTCGGATTCGGCGCAACCTTTCAGCGCACGGAAGGTGCCTGACGTTAGGTGCTTCGTGTTGTGGGACCGTGAGGCACCTCCTACACACGACGAAGCGGCCTCGCATGTCCGCGGGCCAAGCCGCGGGACGGTACACGACAAGGTCGTGCGTGCCCTGCTTCTGTGCACGCTCCTTTGTCCGTTGCTGCTTAGAGACTCCCCTGGTGCGTTTCGGAGTGCCCTTAAAAGCCATAACGGTGTACTGAAAAAGGTTGCCCTTGAACTGAGGATGCACCTGGCGGAGATGCTCGCATTTCGCACGTTTGCGTGCCTGTGTAGGCAAGTGAGGCAATCGCATGCCACATCCCTTGATAGGGCAAACAAAGTCAGTCTGTTCAGAAGGAAGCTCTGCAGAGAAAGCCACCGCAAGCGGCTGCTCAGCTTTGAACAACTCACGTGGCACATCCGGATGCCTGCTACGAACATGGTGCCACTTGGT